CCCCCCCCACACAGCTTCCACAAATTTTGGACCATGGGTACTCAGCACTTTTGGTAATTGCACCCAACATATACAAAATTTAAAGAGATTTAAAAAAAGTAAACAGAGTGAGACATCAAATGAAATGAAACATACTGACCTACAGAGCTTTCTTCAGAGCTTGATTTATGAAGGGAAAGCCTAGAACAGAAAAGAGAAATGGACTCACTATTGCAGAGTTCTTCTATCTCATGGGGACTGTCTGGTTACAGTAAATTGTGATTTCAAGCCAATGCGTCACATATTTATTTCCCTTCTTTTTCTTCTAAATGTAGCCATTTACAAATAGCCAGTGAGCTCCGATCACAGTAGTTTGACCTCATTAACTCAGTTCCCCTCTGAAAATCCTGAAACAAGATGAGGCAGCAAAGCATACTAAGCTGCCTGGCCTGCCTCACGCAGTGGAGAGTCACAGTTCCCCTCAGACACTCCTCCACGTTCTTTCTCCCTCACACAGAACGTGCTGTGCCTGTGCATTTGGCTCTGTGATTATGGCCCCAGCCTAAGGAGCCTGCTGCACACTCTAGGCGAGCAGGCGTCATCCCAGTCTTACCTGCTCTCCCAATGGTGCTCCAGATTTTCAGGTGCTCTATGTAGCCGCGTGTGCTGTGCATGCTTAAAGTTGGCCCTAGTAGTGCCTTTCATTTTACGAGCACAACTATTCATTAATTAAACCCTCACCACACCGTTGCAAGAGGGGGAATGATCATTTCCCTGGCTTTACAGATGGGAAACCAAGGCCCAGAAAAGTGTGTCATCTCAGCTCATACAGGATGTGTGCAGCAGCGCTGATCATCACTTGCTTGTCTCCAATCATGTGCTTTACTACTACTTCCTCACTCATAATCCAGCCCTTAGGGCTTATTTTTTAGCCTATGCTCTGGAAGAGTATCAGGCAACACATTAAATAAATCTTATTTGCTCAGTTTTTAAGCCCATGAATAATCGTTATTGAACATTGCAAAGTTCTTTGAAATCTTCAGATGAAAATTTATGTCAATGAAAACATTTCTATTGGTTTCAATGGCCTTTGGATCACATACTTAGTGCAGGCTATGATTAGTGTGATACTGTCTGCAAAATTCTCTATTGCATTTTATTGGACAATAATGCCTGATAAAACAACGCCTATGTTGTACCTCTGCAAATAACAGCATGCATATTTCAATCTACAAAACAACAACCAACCCCAGTCTTATCATTCAAGTCTTGTATACAGGATATGGCATACTCTAAACTAAGCACCTCCGGGAATGGAGGTCGTTCCTAACGCTGAACAAAACAGTATGGTTGTTTCTTCAAAGTTTACAACTTAACATTGACTTAATACAGCTTTGAAACGTCACTATTCAGAAGAAAAAATGTTGCTATTAATCATCTTAGTTTCTATGAAAACGACAGCAAAAGGTTCCTCACCTTTTTTTTTTAAATCCCTCCTTTCTTTTTAGCAGGTTACATTTAATACCGTACTGCATTTGCATGTGTGTATGTGTTTGCGTGTATGTCTCTGCTGCTGTCTGATAATACAGTTTCCAAATTAGGTGTGTGGTTGACTGGCTCGTCTGGCAGGTTAGAAACTCTAGTGTTTGTAACTCTGAAGTTCTACTGTATTTCATGAACCTTTTTGTATTAATTCGCCCATGTTCTTCTGCATTGTCTTAGACTCCCAGCAGAGGGCACCACAGAGTTTTTGGTCAATTCAGAAAACCTTTAAAAGGAAAACTTTTTGCTTCATACCAATTCACAATGTTAAACAATCCAAGCAATTACAGGACAGCATTTTGCAAGCCTTAAAATCATGTTTATCAGTTTGAAAAGAGATCATTAAAGAGAAAATGAGACACTATGAAGTTTAGTTTTGATTCAGTAATTCATCCAAGCTAAGAGAAGCTGGCACAGCAGAGCTGTGAAATGCCATCTTTTTTTCTACTTCAGTTTGATCAGAAGTGTAATCCTGCACAAATGGCAAACCAGCTGATGTAACAACATTCCAGATTTGGACTGCACCAGGTGGAAGGGGCATTTGCTTATTTCCTTGCTGCTGAAATTTATTCGTGGATGGAAAAGCAAGTAGGGAGAAAATTAATAATCTAGGTGGTTCACTGCACTTGCAGTCAAATACTGCTTTCTCATGAAAGAGTTCAAACAACAGGCACAGGAAGACAGTTCTCAGTTCCTATAGACTTGGGTCATGTCTAGACTACATCCATCTTTCGAAAGAGATGTAAATTAGATCAAAATTGCAAATGAAGCCGGGATCTGAATTTTCCACGCTTCATTTGCATAATGGTGGCCGCTTATTTTTTCGAAAACAAGTATTTCAAAAGTGAAACCGCTGTCTAGATGTGGTTCTTTCAGGAAAAAAACCTTTTTCGAAAGATGCTGTAAGCCTCATTTTTTGAGTACAGGATCTTTCAAAAATGGGTTTTTTTTCTCCCGAAAGAACCACGTCTAGACAGCGGTTTCACTTTTGAAATACTTGTTTTCGAAAGAACAGGCGGCCACCATTATGCAAATGAAGTGCGGAATATTCAAATCCCGGCTTCATTTGCAATTTTGATCTGTCTAATTTACATCCATCCCTCTTTCGAAAGAGGGATGTAGTCTAGACATAGCCTTGGAGTGAAATGATAACCTCACCAAAGACACTGACAAATATTTCTGGGACTTCAATGGGGCCAGGATTTCTAACATAATGATGGCAGTGGCATTTCTTAAATGGTATTATTTGCTCATTCCTCCATCCCCCAAAAAGCATGCAGACCTTTGTATCAGTGCAATAAGAGAACTTGGACTCTATGAGGAAAGAGCTAACCCTATTACCTTTTTGTGCCCTTACGTGGACTTCAGCATCCAGCAAATCATTTTTTAACTAATTCGGTGCTTATGGAAAGTGCCAAACTGACATCCCTGGAAAACAAAGCCTTATTTATTATCAGAACAGGAGCAGTGTAGGCCAAACAGTGAAAGCTTCTCCTCACTGGCTCAAGGCAGAAGATGTCACAGTGGAGCAGACACCTTTCTTTGTGGTGAGGAGGTTGTTTAGCCTTCACTCCCATTTTAATCCTTCTCTTGACTGCCAAAGCTGCCAACCAGGATGCAGTAAGTACCCGGTGTCATGGTGGAATTGTGGGCATCTGTTCACTAGGATTTGGCCTGAAGCCACCAAATCATTCCATATCAACTACCAAAGCCTTGCACAGCAGCAGCCATCTTTTGATGTGCCAGAGCTAGCTACAGTGGCAGAGGAGGAGAGGACCACAGCAAAGCAGACCACGATCTAATTGTAACTCTGTTTTATTTTTAAAGATACTGACTATTGACCTCAGATGCAAATTCCTGGCAACAGAGAAAGTAAAGAGATAATTCGTAGGTGGAAAGACAAACTTCTCCAATAATCATTTCATGCATTCTGTAATTGTGAAGTCTTTCTTTCATCTCTGGACTGACCGTGAAAATACCAACAGCTTGTCTTACAAGATGGAAAAGCTGACAAAACCAAGGAGAGTGTTCATAAGACAAAGCACATACCTGTAAGTTCTCCCACACAACTCTGATTTTTTTTTTAAACCAAAAATATTACAACATCAATCAAGTGTTTCCCTTTCAACATGTATGGTGAAAAATTCCATGGGCCTTCACAGTTGGTTTATGTTTGATTTGATTTGCAAATTACACTTCTTTACTGTGTTAAATCTGCAGCTTCTCTGTGAACATGCGCTGAAAGTGATTTGTGTTCTTCCATTCATAGACTGATAACTAGTACTGAAAGTTAATGATGCAGTGACACTTGGCAGAAGTTTCAGCACTGCATGTCTGAAATGCAGCCAAATGCCATTACTCTACTGGGAAGGCCTTCAGTTTTGTTGTGCTCTGATGTACAACTTCATTAGTAGGCTTCTACATGAAATGTATTCTGTCACTGCATATACATGAGAAATCTATGGATCCAGCTTCAGACAAGGAAATGTTGCCATGTATATTCCACAAAAGGAGGACAGACAAGGTGGGTGAGGTAATACCTTTTATTGGACTAGCTTCTGCTGGTGAGAGAGAGAAGCTTTTGAGCTTACACAGAGCCATTCTTCTAGAAGTATATTCTAATACTACATAGGAGTTTAGAAGTGTCAGAATTTCAGAACTTTATCTGTGTATCTCAATTTCAAAACCATTCCTAGGCCTATTTTTAACATCTTGTGAGCTTGAGATGTGAAAACAAGAAATAAAAAAAACGGGCTCCAAACAGGTTAAAAATGAAGGTAACTCTTTGGATCCAATGACCATGTTTGCTACATACCCATTTTACAGAAATTATGTGATCCAATGCAGTTGGCGTCTTAGGTACACACAATCTTATACACACTGTGGCAACACCAGCCACACCAAAAGTGCCACCAGGACTTAACTCATGATTAATCCTTAACAAATGGTAATGCTAATTGCTATAGCACCCACCTGTTTGCACATTCCACACACACCTGTTTGCACATTCCACACACACCTAGAGATGGTGTTGCCAAGACACCTCCTGAGGACAGAGATCACTGCATATGTATGTTATTGAACAAAAGTATCCACTAACAACATGGGCTTTTGGCTACAGCTCTCAAAGTTGATAGGTACAACTTTCCCTATTAATTGTGAGCATATTCGGTTCTGAGATAGGAAAACACCAATGCTTACCTTGCATACATAGTGGCTGATTTTACAAGACACACAGTCCATATGTGCCCTGAGATGTGAAATAGCCCTGAGCTGGACCATAACAGAATTGAAAAAGGAAACAAATGACACCATGTGCTGCTTTTATGACTGTATTGTTGGTTTTCAAGAGCCCATCATTCTCAAAACAAACCATAACAGAGGAGCAGAGAATGAAGTGATTCAGACTGGCTTTTATTTTGCCTTTAAGTGTTATCAATGCAGGTATGCTTTAAAACATGACCACAGCTCTTTACAGGACATAAAGTCCATAGGTATCTAATGCAGTCAAAAAACTGAAACCAAGACCATTATAATCTTCAGTAAATTGATACTGGCCCTCTTCACTCTTGTCAATAACTATTTACAACCCTTTTGGAGTGGATGATTTGGGATGGGATTTTGGATCTAAAAATATTCACATTTGGATTGCTGAATAA